TTTGACTGGAAACCACCGTGCATTCACACATGGCCGACTCCGCTCATTCTCTAAAGGGTTTGGCACTCCAGGCTGACCACGCCCACTGGCTTTTCGCGTTAGGGTTGCTGCGTGAAGCCCCGCCCTTTGTGAGATGCTCCGCCCACTTTGAATAAGTACGGCCCACTTTTCAAAAATGGAGCAGATCGGCAGTATAGAGACTTGGCTTGCATGTTAGTGTATTGCTGATCATTCGGAATAAACTTTGCCAGATTTTCTTGTTCCGAGTGACGTACGTAGACCAACAATGCAAGCCAAGCCTCTATACTGCCGATCTGCACCCATTTTTGAAAAGTGGCGGTGCTTGTTCAAAGTGGGCAGAGCATCTCACAAAGGGCGGGGCTTCACGCAGCAACCCCTAAATGCAAAAATTTTGAAAAAACATCGAAATTCCCGCGAAAAGCAGTGGGCGTGGTCAGCTAGAGTGCCAAACCTTTTAGAGAATGGCGGAGTCGGCCATGTGTGAATGCACGGTGTTTTCCAGTCAAAGGGTTTGGTGGGAGACAGCAAAAGCAGAAGTTATGAAACAGGATTGGGAATTTATGTCCGCGCTGACAAGTTGGCGTGGGCCGTCGGCGCGGGGCTCACAGTGATGTCTGACTGTGATCTGCGTTGATGAGTTGCCCGCCCTGATAAGTGTGGTTTTTTGATGAAGAGTGAGGCGTGAATTTGGTTTGAAAAGGACGAATTTGGTTTTGAAAAAGGGCGAATTTAAAGTGAAAATGATATATATATATTTATATAATATATATATATATATATAAATATATATATATATATTATATATATATATATATTATATATATAATATATAATATATATATATATATATATATAATATATATATTATATATATTATATCATACACCACGCCGCCACTGTGCGCCAAAATCTCTCCAATCTCAAATCCGGCGAATATTACGCCCGTTTGCCTCGGGAACCTTCGCCTTTGGTATAACGGCACCAGGCACAGAGTAACGGCACCAGGCACTTTTCCCGTTGTAGTCGTCGGCACCTATGATGAGAGATTCGGTCTTTTCCGCGCCGAACGATACGATATCCTTGTCAAAATAGTCAAACTATCCCAGGAGCAAGTTTCTAAGGGTTTTGCCAAAACTTCGGACGGATAGTAAGTGTCGTAAGGCGGTAAGTGATGTCTTTTTCTATATCTGATTTGCTATGTCAGGTAGTTGATATATTCGCTCTCTTGATTCATGTCCTCGGAAGAATCCACCACTCAGCATGCTCACGTCCAACACTGCATTCCTACCTAACTTTAGAAAGAGCAAAATAGAGATCAGACACAGGCACAACAAAACAAGAAGTTGAAATGGCGTTTGAAGATACGCTCAACACTGTCGTGAATTATTTCGAATATAAATATAGAGCTAGCGATCACGAAGTTAATCTAACAGAATCATTTTCGTTTGTATTAGCATGAGAAAGTGAAACCTTCACTGACGAAAGCTTGTACATATTGGAAATATAGGTAAACGCATTGTAAATATAGTAAACCATACCTTAGAGCCTAATAACATAGAACAGAGTCAGAACAAATAGGTTCCCAACCTCTTGACAAGGTGAATAGTAACTTTGTGACATTATTTGCAGGAAGTTCTTGATTATCAACATAATGAACGAACTGGGCATAACTTATGATGCCAATCACACATTTGTCTATGGAAACAGAAGTAACACATATGAACTATTGCCCCAATCATAAAGTATTCTTTGATAAGGAAACGCAAGTCCTTTTGTGTAGAGAATAAAATCAATCCATTTAGTGGTGCAGAGATGCCTACAGTATATGCACAACCAAAACTAGATAAGAATCCAGTCGAATTCAGATACACCATAGGTTCTCATAGCAGCAGCAGTTGAACCCTTGGTTCAGGGACCACGCGTAGTTTTCACAAATCTGAAGAGTCACCTTACTAATTATGCCAAAGTAATGCAGAATCGCAGCAGAAATCAAGACGGGGACTACACAATATCCCATTTGGCAATCTCAGAATTTACACTGTGGACTTCAGGGACAAGTTCACCAACTTAGAGCATGATCTCATTATTAGGAACATGGAATAACTTCTTAGCATTTGCTTCAAGCATGCCGACAGATCATTAATTGCCACTAAAAGTTATCACGTTTTATATATAGGAGGTAAATAAACTAACCAGGAAAGGTCATCAGGTCAGCCCGGCCATTTCCAATGAGCTGCACACCGTTGTACGCGTCTTGGGACGGTGAACTCAGAACTGTCTTCAAAATTTGCTGAACAATTCTCTGAACGGGGTTTTGGAGGGTTTTATCCCTGCACTGTCGTTGCACATGCTATCGCGAGGAAACGTGGAAGCCTCTTTACATTTATGTATGGAGTCGTTCTGAAACGTTTCAGCAGAGCGCAGCGGATAGCGAGCGGGTTTACTAGGCGAGACGTCGTAGGGTCGGTTCCCGGCAGGGTGCCGTTTTTGCATTTGTCCAAGAACATGGCCGACAAAACTTCTAACATATCTGCTCGCCTGCACTATCCTGTAAGGAAACTGCGACCACTTTTTTTTGAAAGTGTAGACCCATTATGGCCTGAAAGAGTGCTCGTGCTTGTCCCCCCGTAGCGCATGTCATAAGGATCTTTGCAATGAAATACCATCATATTCATGCTCATCGGGTTAAATTACCCCTGGAGACAACTTTCTAACCGAATCTGATATTTCGACCTCACTTGGAAAATGTTGGCTATTCCATGGGTAAGAGCAGCACATTGGAGCTTACCTACCATCGATGACTGATCTCGGAATGGGATTTCCTCCCGATAGTCAAGAAAATGATGCAGACGGCACAAATAAGTAAGCCAGGTACGTCGTTCGCGAAAAGACATGATTGACATTGACATGAAGAGTTATTTCAGCTCGAAGACCAGTCGTCATCAGTACATAGGCTGGCCGTAGTATCGCTGTCGGCTATCTGTCAGTCATCAATGACCCATACCCCATTTTTTCGCAGTTGAGTCAGAAGCTCGGATTTTGCTAAGGTGACGTCTCTAGGAGTTATTTGACCCCTTAACACGAATACGATATTGTTTTTGCGCGCAGAGCGCTTGTGAGTCGCGCTACATGTGCCAACGCTTCGGCGCCAGCGCGCACGTAAGAGAAAAACAGTAAAGAAAAACCTCCACAACTAAGCTCAGAGAATCGTTCTACAAATTTTTGAAGACAGTTCTGAGTTTACCGTGTCAAGGAGTACAGTGATGTGCATCTTATTGCAAATGGCCAGGTTGACCTGTTGACATTTCCTGGTAAGAGCAATACAGATACTACAAACCCAGCGATTTAGTGTTCCTAACCGACTATCTCTTACGTAACAAGTTTTGCATTTTTACGAGGAATATATTCAAACAGACGAGGTATTCCATTGGGGCAACTTTGATCCTCTATTGGCAGATCTTACGCTTTTTCTCTTCTCTTTCACGGAGTATCGATGTCCAAAATCCACTAAGTATAGTAATAGTAAGCTGTTCATTCCATATACACTCCTCTTCATTACGGACTGTCGGGGCGTATCGGCCAGAAGGAGTGCGCACACTGTTTGAAGCCGTTCTCAGCCTTTTCTTTGGAGCGCGTATGCGACAAAAAGTGGTAGAAAACGAGTAATACGAAGGATATAATGCTGTTATATCATTTGATCGCTTCAAGAACTGGTGCAGAATGACCTTGGAACCGCGGAAAACGCAGCCGCACTGACCCGCCCCGACAGTCCGTAATGATGAGGATTATAGATATATAGACGATTTGCTTGTCGTACATAAGCAAACTGAGAGCGACGTGGATGACCAACTAACTAAAGTTTATAAAGATTTCCTCCATTTGAGAAAAAAGGCCATACAAATGAATTTCCAGTAGTTACTCAGATTCAACAACAAACACAGTAAAATTAGTATTAAGTTGTAAAACGGATCATTTTTGTAATAAAACGGATCATTTTAGCTGCAGTGTAGTCAGATTTCCGTGAAGTGGCACAAATATTCCCCTCCTTAACGAGACTCCTGTTACAAGCACGCAAACACTATGCTTAGCAAACACTTAATGTATTTGATATATTCGCACACGAACCACTGGTCACGACACTTCTGACAAATGGTCACGGGGAAATCTTATTATAACTAGCAAAGTGAAATGTATTAACACAAATTTATATGTTACAAATACTCAATCGCAACTAGTTATAAAAAGGTACGTAGACCGATTAAAGATATTAAAGATGTTCTCATTGGCAGCGGTGTTAAACGCTCCTATTTTACCACTTTAGTTGTTTGGTTTCATCCTTTTGTAGTTCATGTCAACAGTGTCATATACACAATATTCCCTCAATTGGTTTTAGCTCATAAATACAATCTAATTTCTCTCCTATTATACGCATTTGTTACACAACTCGCGTAATATCCTCAATTCATTTTTCTGTCAAACTCCTTTCAGCTTCTCTTTGAGACTTGCATGATGCCTATATTACAACTCCGCTCATTTTTATCGTTTTTCGCGATTCTTCCCCATGTCCTTGTTTCGTCAACCCTTAACGAGCCTCTGGGTTGGCGAGACAATGATGGTTCGTCTGTTTGCTTTTTTGTTTCTAATTTCATCAGCCAGAACTCGCTCGGGAGATCCCCATAGCGCTTTGAATCTGTATATTCGCAACCAGCATTCGGTGTATCGATATACCCAGGTCTCAATCACAGTTCCTTATGAATTTGGAATCATTCTTCTGTGCGACCTTAGTCGAGATGTGAGCGCACGAATAGCGTGGTCAGTGCAAGAACTGCTGAAAGCTACTATAACCTACGAGCTTGAGCTCTTGAAGTTTACATTTGTGTTCAAAGTGTATGTCTGTGGAAGCTGATGTGAACGACTAAAAGCGGGTCTGATTTCGGGACTGCCTGTAACGAGAGAATGTCCAAAATTCAGTCGAGCAAATGTGTTTCAATTTATGCGGATCGAATAGCCATGATGAGCTCTTACCTAGATACGTCTCTGCTATGGTGCCAGTGAAATCAGTGAGAGAGCATGACGCTCAGATGGATGTAGCCGTGTTATTTTCTGAGGTTCGTGAACGTGCGCTAGCAGAGTGCTTAATAACGAAAGACCAAATTGATTCGTTCGATCCTATCGTCATGATCTGTATTCCGAGGCTGGCGATCGTATGGTGGGCAGATTCTATTGCTACTGTTTTCATTGTCGAACGAATGATGTCAAAGTCTTTCAGGGGCCTTATTTATTACCCTGAAGGTGCACTCAATGTCGACGGTCCTCAAGAGAATATGTCTGAAATGTTTCGTCCATACTACGGCCTGCTTAACAAAATTCGAAATCTGCTGCTGGTTCTTACACCGCATGAGCTGCTGAAGGTTCCTGCTTTACTTATTCTGTTAAAGGTGCAAATTGAACGATCTCAAGAGCACTACACTGTGAAGGGCTGTGATATTAGCAAACAAACACTTTTTACCCCAGCGCTCACTTTTGTAACAGATGCGTTCAAGAAATAAAAAGATGAGTCATTACCAAGTACTTGCTCCACTGTAGTGTAATTCGGTGTTAATCATTAAGCTTATCTGTGAGCGATAGAGCTTGCAGGATATAATTATATCCACTTCTTGATCCAAAGCGATGCGTTTTCTTGTCCTTAACAAGGTCAAACATCACGTTGAGGGAAAGTGGCCCGTTGATACGACCCACTCCCCCCCCCCACTAAAAACGCTGTCCACCCGAGTAATTGACTTAACGGGCTACTTAGAATAACGTAATTTCAAATGCGGGTTGTTCCAGCTTCGTCGCATTTTCGCGTTGGAGTGCCCTGTTTTACGCTACACCACCATCTCCGACCCATAAATATGTTTCTAAAGCTTGTAACTTCCTTCATGAACATCAGCTCTAGATGGGATTCGTGATCTTCAAGCTTTTAAAAGAGAGGTACTAGAGTGGTCACTATGGAGGTGTTACGGCTTTGCCTAGAGAATAACGATGATAATTTTGAAGTTTTTGAGTAAGATCACTTCTTATTAATCAAGATCCATCGGAAAAGTTCATCACTAAAAAAATCCACCATTGAAGATTTTTTTTCGAATGAACGATGAGATTTTTTATGGAGCGGGAGCTTTCCACATCAACCTTTCTGGGACCATGATTTTGGGCATTACCGGACGAGGGGCAAAGTAGATGCTGGTGTTGCTGTTGAGGAATTTATGTGAGAAGGAAACTACCTTTCGCGCTCAAGTTGCCACCCTTCAGAAGGCCATAACTTCGTTGCACATAGCTTTTGAGGAGGTCGAGAAAATATTGGGAACTGCTGGATTTGAGCTTCTCCAAGCAGTTAAGTTCTGCTCCAGCTCAACTACATAGCGGGAAATTCGCTGCAAATTTGAAGAACAAACTACTCAAGTTTCAAAGGTGAGTGTTACTATATCATTGCCACAACTGCTTCCAGAACCCACAGAACGCCTACAGAACACGTTTCCACCTGTAACTAGGGCCAACTGATGGGCTGAGGATTAGTAGACTCAGCTATGGGATACGCCACGCGCACGACCGTCTCCACGGTTCTCCACAGCTTTTTGGGAATGGCTTGCCACATGATGTAAGGATCCATGCACGACCACGCAGATGAGGTTCATTTTTGCTTAGCGTTACTGGGAATATCAAAAATGGAGCAGAAGAAAAAGCTCAGAATGGATGATTTTAACCATGTTATTCAGCTCTGTTCTATCTGTAGCGTTAAGTATTAGGTTGAGTCGATATGGCTCGCACAAATGGTAGTGATGATTTCTAGAGATCATAACTCAGCAACGAGTGAACGAAAATAGACGCGCGAGGTACCGTTGGAGAGAATATAAAAAGTTCTTCAAAATGCAATCAAACAAACACTCCAAACTAGTTTCACTCCGCCACCATGCCGCACGTTTTCAAGCCGTCCAGAGACCGCCTCCGCAACGTCATACTCTTTCTAACGCGATCTGGCCAAGTACCCGCGGATATCGACAGACGCCTAAAGGAAGTCTACAAGGAGCATGCCCCCGCTAGAAGTGCAGTCTACTTGTGGCATTCGAAGTTTGCATCGGGCAACTATTCCATCGAAGACGAAGACCATGCGAGACGCCCGAGGGAGGGATTTCGACTCGCTGCGGAAACAGTTGGAAGCCGATCCGTATCAAACTCCTCGAGATATGGCGACCGCTCTTGGGGTGAGTCAGGCTACTGTCGTTCGCGGCTTCAAGTCAGTCGGCAAGGTGCTGAAACCTGGTCGATGGGTACCCCATGTTCTGACGCAGCGGGACATGGATCGGCGGTGCGAGGTCGCACTTTCGTTGCTCACTTTCAAGCGCCACCACCATCGGCTCGACGAAATAATACTGGCGATGAGAAGTGTGTCCTTTACTCTAAATCTCACCGCCGTGCACAATGGGTCGACAAAGATGCCGACGCAAACGACGTCCCCAAACCCAGTCCAAGGTGATGCTTTGTATGGTGGAGCGTACACGGCGTAGAGTACGGAACTGCTCGATGAAGGTGCAGCAGTAACCGCCGACGTCTACATTCGTCAATTACGAGAACTGAAGGCAAATGTCCAAAATTCGCAACAGCGGCGGTCCCATGTCTACTTCCAGCACGACAACGCGAAACCCCACATTGCAAGATCGACCAAGGTCGAGCTGCTGTCGTACAGTTGGACCGTGCTTCCACACCCACCGTGCTCTCCAGACCTGGACCCTTCGGATTATTTCCACCTTTTCTCCCACCTCCAACGCCACCTGGACGGCCAAAAGTTCAAAACTCGCGACGACGTCAAGAAGGCGCTCGAAAACTTCTTCGAAGCCCAGCCCCGGCCTTCTGGAGCAAGGGCATCCACGATCTGCCTATCCGGTGGCGGAAGGTCATCGATGAAGATGGAGCACATTTCAAGTGAACCCCAGTTGTCGTTAAAAAGTTGTACGATGAAGAAAAAACTTGTCAATTATCATACCGACTCAACCTAATATGTATGACTATTTATTAATATGAGCTGTTCTTCAACTATGCATGAAAAACAACGCCACAGTCCAAAATCCGAGTACCTTAACTACCGTGTGGTGAAGAAGTACTGAAGTTTCTTATGTAGCTCTCGTATGTTATGACTACCAGTGTACGGATGGCGTGTTGGATGTGGTGGATAGCGCACTCATTTACGTATTTTTAATGCATAGTTGAAGAACACCTCAAAGTGGTGAGGTCCATTCCGCCAAGTGGCGCTACTGGAAACTCTCGTCTTAGCGCTGAGCTTAACTGGATCTCCGAATACAAATGACAGGCCCTCGTGACGGGCCGTTCTACGAACACCCATGTCACATCACACCTGTCTAACAATGTCATATGAATTCTGAATCAGTGCTACGGCTTCCGTGGGAGCTGACGTGCACTCGCAAGGCCCGGCGGGTTTGAAAATTATGCGAGGGTCCCGGATTCAAGGTCGGCATCGGGGAGGGGGGAACCAGCTTTGTCCTAAAGTCGTGCAGCGTGTTGAAGGCTCGTCTTACAACGCTTGATGTTGGGACGCTGACTGGACGCTCGTGTGAATTGGCAGAAGTGCCAGAGCGTAGAAGGATCCACATCCGTGCGGTTCAAGAAACGCGATGGGCAGGTTGGAAGTCGAAGGAAATTGGTCTTCACAGCCGTTCTTTCTTGTGGGCCGAACAGTGGAAATGGTGTTGCAGTAATCGTGTCACAGTCGTTCCGTGCGTTGCGTGCGAAAAAATTCTGTTGTGATCTTTACGCAACCTCTTTCAAACAACACGAAACCCACCCCTCCCGATGCCATAAACATCCAATTCGTTTGAAGACTTTGTATATCTGAAACACATGTTTTCGCCAAGACTATCAGGAAATAGTTCATTGGGCGCCGATTGGTATCATTTGTTCAATGCGTCATGCATAAGGCTCTCACGGGTATTGGCAAAGGTATTGGCAAAGTGCAACTTCTAGATAGGGCTTTCTCCGTGCAAGTAGATGTGCTCCTGCGTTCAGAAAGGTCGGAAGTGTATTTTTATCTGTGTCTAAATTCATGACGTCGCTGTGGGCGGCCATCGTATTTCCTCTCATCGCCCGTATCCCACTTCTGCGCTGGCATGTTGCTTCTGTCTTGTGTGGGTCTCTTCAGAGTCTTGTGTCACATGGACAAGTCTTTCATCGTTGAAACTGAACGACATCTGGGTATCGCTGCACCCTCACTTCATAAAGAACCCTGCGCTTACGATCCACGTCCTTCGAGGTCAAATACGACCCCCTTTGTGATTGCCACAGCGATGGCGTGCCTGTATGAAGGCTTGCCAAATCTCGCCATCGTCAAACTGAAGTTATAGAAAAGTTTCTTGGCATAAATGACGGCGATGTCATCTTCTGATGGATCGGAAGAGGGTGATGAAACGGTGGTGGAAGTACTTTGAGAGCATCTCAACAGTGGAATTCACCCATCAGTTGCCCCCTGAGCCTCACGAGCATAAGGCTCTGTAGAAGATATCCGTACAGGAAACAAATGCGGTTCTAATGAAGATGATGGTCGGCAAAGCAACAGGCCCCGACAACTTGGCAGCTGATCTGTGGAAGTCAAAGCATCGTTTTTGCAGAGTGGTTGACAATGCTCTTCAACCAGATCGTCGAAGAGGAGGTGCCGTAGGATTGCCTGTAGAGTGCGACGGTTCCTGTTCGGATAAAGAAGGGCAGCACGCACATTTTTCGATGTACCGTCCAATTTGTCTTTTACCGCACACAGTGAAAACCTTCGAACGAATTGTTGACGCCGCGTTCATGACATTGTCCAGCTCTCCACCAGTCAGTGTGGCTTTGTCTCAGGCTGCAGCACTCCAGACGCCACGGACGCTGCTCGCCTTTTGCTGGAGAAACATAGAGAAATAAGAGGTTCGAAGAATGTGAGACTGCGCGCCAAAATATCATGCAGAAATTGCTCTACCCACATTTCTTTTATTCTCTTGGAGTGTTGCTCGGTCTCTCACGATTATATTTTATCGCCTACCCTTAAAATTTGCTACAAACATCTGTATCCGTTCTTTCATCCGATCACTAACCTTTGACGGTCCATTTTGATGAGCTTCTGCTGGAGGTGTCATTCCGAAATGGGCTCTTTTTTGGGTACCAACTGAATTTAAATTACGTTGCTCTAGTTAGTTTTTTACGCGCTGCACTCGCAACCCCGCGCGAACTTGGCGCACCGATTCGCTGAATTCAAAGTATTAGGTTGTATGAATGGTCTCCGCGGTCGTGCGTATTTGAACAAACACTTTTGATTAAAAAACCCATTTCAAGTAAATATTGACCATTATTACATTTGATCTTTTGCCATTTACCATCACCCACTATATATAATTTGCTTCGCCTGCTTGTTTGTTTGTTTGCTTGTTTGTTCGGAAATTCGGTGCGACCTGAAAACTTGAGAGGTCGGTTCAAGGTGGGGATGGGTATGGCATGGGACGAGAAGTAAAGACACACACGACCTATTCGA